CATAATGCATTTTATTTATACTCCGTCCATTATAGTCGGCATTATGAAAATATTATTTGCATCAAATTACTGAAGGGGGGGAATAATAGCTAGCGACTTTCCATGGAAGATTTAGCGACATTTAGCAACTTTTAGGTACCAGCCTAGCGACATTTGAAAATCCGAGTTGGCAACCCTGGTAAATAGCAGACGCTTCAGTGACGTCACTAGTGTTTACACTACACCAGCGGGTAACATTTGATGACATTACTTGAAGTGAATTGGCCTTATTTTAAAAAACCAAGGATGGTTGGTAAAGGACTACTGAGTCAGTGGGTAAGTGTCACATTTGGGGTACTGGTCTTATACAGCGAATAGAGCTCAAAAGCTACTTTTTAAATGGAAATTTGGGGGGGCCGTCTTATGCACCCCGATGCCTTATAGGCCGAGATATACAGTACGTTAGTAGAAAAGCTGGGTCGGCACACGTGGATGGCGGCTGGTTCTGAGGCAGAGGGCAGATTAGTTGCCCTCCGGTGAATCACTTTCACTACTCGCAGAGGTTTGCAGGGCCTCCCAGACAAACCCCTCAAAGTCCATATCCTCACTATCACTATCATTGACTTGGGCTGACTGTGGTTGTGGTGGGTTGCGGGCAAGGAAGTCCTCAATACTACGTTGACAACTAGCATTGATGTTGTCGAGATAGGTCTGGATATACGGCTCCATAACTTTCGACAGAAGGTTATTAGACACTTCATACCGATGCTTGTCTGGGTCGTTGTCAAGGATGAGCTTAATTTTCTCCCCCAACTCGATGATTTCCTTCACACAATCATGGCTTGGTCCAGGTAATTCAAGGTTTTTCTTGGGTGGTGGGGGTCCAGCAGAAGCCATTGTGAGGGGAATAGGGCACAAGAGAGAACTGTATATGCGGACTGAGAACAATGAGACAGGCCCGGCTAGGTCAGCGACTTCTACCCTCTGGTGGCAGGGCACATCATGTTACATTAGACCAATCACAGCTAGCGGCGGAGGGATTGCGTGGGTGGTAAGGATGCATGGCCCAATCACAGTCCAATACGTCATATGACGTCAGCGATAACGTAAGAGCGGCCTAATGCGCACCACTCACCGCGCCGCTTCCCGCGTATGGTCAAGAATGGACCGCGTGAGTAAAAAAATGGCGCGGCGGTCTGGAACCTCTCCAGCCGCTCGCCGCGTAAATGATGAAATTTACCGCGTAATTAAAACATTTCATTCTGGCAAGGCACCGCGTAAAGGACCAAACGCATAAACAAAAACCGCGTAAATCCAGACTATACTGTAATTGTGCATTATTTCATAATTGATATTTGCTCCCAGACCCAGAAATGAAAATATGGACAGATTTTCAAGATTTTTTTCTTCAGAAAATGCTTCTGATTTTCAACCTTGAAATTTGTTCCCAAACCTGGAATTCAGGGAATTTTCCGGAAAAATTCTGAGCAAATTTCAATTCCGGCTTTTGGAGCGCTCCGGGTTTGAGGGATTTTGGCTAATGGAGATAGTATTACTGTATTTCATTATAAATATTCCCATACACATCACTTTATCACTTCATAAGAATAAATAACGAGGTTGTAAGTAATAAATACTTGGAGATTATGCCACAAATGCCACAATAGCCATTTTTAAATCATGCCTGGGACATATACACTTCTCATTTACTGAGACAGAAGCATAACTGGTGTGCTTGTCTGGAGGCTGCATAGTCCACCACATGTAGATGGGATACCACTTACCCTTAAAACTTGGTTCCACGCACAAGAGTAGCATGAAGAAAGTGGCGTTAAAATTTGAAGTGATTCAAACAAGAACTTTCAGAGAAAATTAACTATACACCACAGTGGCGTGTCTGATCGTGAAGCAAAACTGTTATTTACATTAAATCAAAACGCCACATAGGAACGGATGATCCCAAGTGTTAAATAAGTTCCTCCATGGAGCACCACACATGGGGCACAGTAGGACAAAGAGAAATGGATGGCAATAACTTGATCAAGAGAGTACAGTATAATATATGGAAAAGAGAAATAAAGAAGCTTTCTGGAATCTTTTTTAAGGCATATCCTATGAAATACTGAATGTTATGTTGAAAGTTTTTCCTTTCCATTGATTGATAAGAAACATGAATATCTTACCAGCCATGTATAAGGGTGCCTGTTGACACTGAAGACTTGAAAAAGAGACAACTTCATCTGGTATAGAAGGAAGATCTGGACAGACATTGAGGAAATCTTGGTCACTTAATTTCTTAATGGCTGTATCTACTGCCTGCTTGGAGTACACACCATTGGAATATTTTCTGTGTTGTTTCTGACGTGCTGCAAACAAACCTCCACATAGTTGGTCCCTGAATGATGTCAAATTTATTAACAATTCATTCATTACAGAATTTAGTCTTGTAGTTTATGGGAAAGAAGAATTTATTAGTGACTAATTTTTTGATAGTCAAGTTTTATTAATTAAAAAACAAGAAGTAACCATAAAAAGTCTTAATTTTTTTCAGTTTATAATACATATACCAGTACAGGTAAAGTACTTACATTATCTTACAGTCTTGTAAATCATTAACATACGTAGATGTGACGCTAAGGATAAAATCCTGGTATGGACCAAGAACAAATTCTTTCCCAACTGCTGCTGCAACTTGAGGGCCAACTATATTCTTCCAGACATCTTTGATGGTGCCAACATGATCATCACGTCCCTGCCAACAAGTTATAAAATATAGAAATGAAGCAGTGATCCCCAAATCCTGTTTTCTAGTGCAGTCAGTTACCAGGCAGCAGATTGAGAGACTAAGACATGCATGCTGTTTCCCCTTTATATCCTTTACATACAGGTGTTAACAGTTATATGATGGATTTATGATGCTTTATGCATGCTAAAAGATTTAACATTAACTGCTGTGCAATGTCTACCTGAATGCTTTTCCTGCATTTTCAAGACTAGCCATCAGTCAAGATCTTCATTTTTTGTCCTATGCAATGTTTTCTTATTTTTCATTAGTTTGTGGTTATCGCTGTCGGAGTAAAACTTCAACAACTTGTCTTTCTGTTTCTCTAAGTCATATACAGTGGGGTATGCTATAACGAATCTAATTGGTTCTAGAACCTTGTTCGTTATAGCATTCGTTCGTTATAGGATTAATCCGTTCAGGCCCCCAAATACAACCACTTATCACTGAAAAATATAATATAAAATTGTAAAAATTGTAAAAAAGTGCATAAATATGCATCTAAACCCCTGAAATAAAGAATATCATTAATACTTGTAATAAAAAACAATAAATTTGTAAAAAAAAATAAATAAATAAATAAAAAATTAAAAATAATGTTCGTTGTAGGAGTTTCGTTTGTTATAGCTTTCTCAATTTTATAGGTAAAACCGTTCGTTATAAGAATATTCGTAGTAGAATCCATTCGTTATAGCATACCCCACTGTATGATGGTAGTTCTCACACCATATTCTTTAGTAAGATGCCGCACAGGTACACCACGATCATGCTTCTCTAATAACTCCACTTTCTGTGCTATTGATAATGAGAGATGTTTCCATTTCTTCTTCTCACTGTTACCCATAGGGGATAACTGAAGCTCTTTTTGACATTTTCACAGTGAAATTAAACTCAAAATCACAAAATCACAAAAAATATCAGAGAGCAGCAGACACAACTGACGCCTCACACCTGCGTGGGTTAGCTTCGGCCACGTCAGGTCATGTTCAGCGTCACTCTGGTTATGTCGTGCACACGAGTGATGTTCCACGAAAAGACTTTCGGTTTTCAGAGCTTTTTGGATTTCGGAATCACGGATAAGGGATTGTGGACCTGTATTGTGAAAAGTATACAGTATTACACCACAATTACTGACATCCTTCATTTTGGGTTGGCTAGCTGGCTATGAAAGAAATTCTGTAAGTTTTATCTACGTATCAACCCAGCTTGTGCTGGCGCCATATGGCAACTCGACCAACTCAACTTTAATTACAAAGCACGGAGTTGACTTGAGGGTAGACACAAATTTTCTACATTACATTTTGTTGTCGTGTTTCTTATTATTTGTGAGAGGATTTCCCCATTATTATTTATTTGTATGCATTTTAATAATAATAATAATAATAATAATAATAATAATAATAATAATAATAATAATAATAATTAACGGTTTATTGAAAGAGCATGACAGCCGGAAGGCTGAAATGTACAGTTACATAATTGGGAATGGGCCACTTGATCGACAGATAACATAAGTGATACAAATATGATATCTAATATACAGTACTATAGGAATTGCCGTGGCTCTGTCTGTCTGTTCTGGGCAGCCGAAACGGCACAATCGTTTTTCATCAAACTTGGTGGAAAAATCGCAAAAAATTCGTAGAGTGGAACAAACCTGGTCCCATGTCGATGGGTTCTTTAGGAAGGCATTAATTAACCACTTTATTTACGATGGAAAACGATGCAAGTCTAAGGACTTGGCGCACCCTCATTCGCTGTACGCTAGCCAAGCACGAGCGTTCAAATTTTCACCGGGCATGAAGGGCCTGCGTTCACTTTTATAATAACTCAGTGGGGAAAAGGTTATACTACAGGGCATTTCAACAAAGTGACACTGCAATAAGGTAAGATTGGCTGGGAGTGAATACATACACTAGTTGATCATGATTTGATAATTTTTATAATGGTTGGTTAATGGTTGGGACTGGGCTGTTCTCTGTGTGTGTGTGTGTGTGTGTGTTTTATTGACTTGACCTGATGCTATTAAGTTTACCATTTGTATACTGTATAAGCCTCTCACAGTCTCTGGAAATTCAGTTGCCTTTGAAGATGTCTTGAATAAAGACAAAAGCTAAGGTGCTCCAGTTTTTCACTTTTCCTGTATGCTTTTATCGATATAGTACAGTGATATCCCCGTTAGCTGGAACAATTGGTGCAGAGCACTTCCGGGTAACAAGACGAATTTCTCAAACCCAGAAAAATTCCTTATCCCCGGAACCTTTTCCGGTTATTGGAAAAAGTTTCCGAGTGTCTAAACTAGACATCTAACAAAGACGCACACTAGCCCACTTCCCCAGAACATTTCTGGGCGCTGGAGATATTTTCCTTGAGTCTGGAATACTGGAATACGTAAATACAGTTCTAATTAAGTTAGAAACTTAATTTCTTTACCATAATAATCCAGAATAGTTTATCTAAAAGTTTGGTTAAATATTTAAAATTAAAAATTAAAAATCTGGCAGAAGCAAACATTTTTACAGGGTGAGGGTAGCGTGGTCAGCTCTCCCCCCCCCCTCCCCCCATACCTCATTTAAGTGTGACTAATTGTGATAGAGATAAATTTGATAACATTATAATCCTTAATAATTTCTCTACGAGACGTTTCCAATAAGATATCCTTAGACGAAATATTTCGATGATATAGTGATGGGAATTTCATTTTTTATAAGAAAAACATAAGAAATGTTGATACCGGAGTCAGTAAAATCAGTTCTAATTTTGTTACACCAGTGGTTCCTAACCTTTTTGGCACTGGCCCCCCTTTGGTCAACCCTATATCATGCCCCCCATACAAAAAGAGCGAAAATTTTCAACAGTTCCATATTCTCCCTGTCTCGAAAGATGACCTCATCGAACTCATCAAACTATGTATTAAGGATTGTAAATTTGAATTCAATGGAGAATATTATGCTCAAAAATTTGGCATGGCAATGGGTAATCCACTCTCACCTGTATTAAGCAACCTATATGTGGAATTCTTTGAAAAGAAACTATTAAGTAATATCTTACCACCTTCAGCAGTCTGGTTTAGATATGTAGATGATGTATTATGCCTCTGGCCATGTAATGAGGACCTAAAAGCTTTCCTGCCACAACTTAATAACTTAGCTCCCTCGATCAAATTCACTGTGGAATTAGAGCATGACTGTAAATTGCCTTTCCTAGACTGTCTGATCCACAGAATAGGTAACACTTTTAAGTTCAGTATTTATAGAAAACCTACTAATGTATGTTCATACATTCATTATTATTCTGCCCACCACAATAAAGTCAAACAGTCAGTATTTTCAACAACGTTTTTACGTGCTTTGAGAATTTGCAGCCCGGAATTCATTGATGAGGAATATAAATATATCTATAATATTGGCTCAAACCTTAAATACCCTAGATCTTTCATAGACAAATGCCAGAACATTACTAAGAAATCTTTTTATAGAACTGATCCCAAGCCCACCCATAACCATAAGAATCTCTTAGTATTACCATTTCACAAAAATTTCTCTCAAATTCCTTTACAACTAAAAACCTGGAACGTCAATGTGGCATTTAAAAACTCATGCACGGTTAAACAAATGTTAATCAAGAACTCCCCCAATAATACAAATGGCTGCATTTATAAAGTCCCTTGCAAGGAATGTAATATGTTTTACTTAGGCCAAACAGGTAAAGATCTTGTAACTAGACTTAAACAACATAAATACAGTGTTAGGACAGGCCAGGAATCCAATGCTCTGTTCGTTCATTTGAGGGATAATAAACATTGCATTGACTGGGATAATGCCTCCTCAATATTACCTTGTAATTCAATTGACAGTAGGAACATCATAGAATCTAGTCTCATTAAACATACCAAATCCGTTAACATGAATTTGAGTAACGGTATGTACAAATTGAACAATTTTGTAATTAAGAAGATTTGTAACCAGGTGAGAAGGTTGGGTCAGTTTTCCCTCTGACCTGACTACCAACCACTGCGGTGCTTTTGTAGAGATTAGTAGGGTCATTACATATGCTTGACCTCTGTGGACTTGTTCTCACCCTCCTCTGTATATATATATATAACTTGTTCTGCGCTTCTATTTTAGTCTGTACTCACCCCTGAAGGTGTGAATTACACGAAAGCGCTTGGGAACTTCGTGTTTTCTTTTTCCTTATGGAAAACACGCGGTGCGTGTACCCCTTTACGCGGAGAGCGGCTGGCGAGCCGCGCCATTTTTGGATCCAAACCTCCCGCCATCCGCCATGTTGTGTAAGCTGCGCGAACATGGTGCGCACAAGGTCGCCCAGTCATCAAAACATTACCAGTTCTTCACCCGCCACCCACCACAGCCGGCCCAAGTCAGTGATAGTGATAATTATGGTGAGGATATGGACTTATATGGACTTTGGGGAGTTTGACAAAGAGGCCCTGCAAGCCTCTGTGGTGGATAGTGATACAATTGATACAAGTGACACAGGTGAGGGCCAATAATCTGCCCTCTGCCTCGGAACCAACCGCCCATCCCCGTGTGCCCAGCCATTTTTTCTACTAATGTAAGTGTTAAAAACCTAATATTATTGATATTTCTCTTAATTATTAATTGTGTGTGCATACCATCATAAAGTTAAGATAATATTTTTACTACAACATAGTTGTGTGTCGTCAAAAAGTGGAGTTTGGGGATCGGCCCGGACTCCATTTCAATTAATCCCATATGTTATGTTATTCACTTTACGCGGGACCCTCCGGGTTACATTAACCGCGTAAAGTGAGGGTTAACTGTACAGTCAACCCTCACTTTACGCGGTTAATGTATCCCACAGGGTACCGCGGAGAGTGAGAAACGCGTAAAGTGAATAACATAATATATGGGATTAAATGAAATAGAGACCAGCTGACCCCCAAACTCCACTTTTTCCAACACAATACCTATGTTCTAGTAAAAATAACATCTAAATTTTATGATGGTACATGCACACAATTAATACTTAAGAGAAACAGAGAAATACAGTCGCCAAGTTAATGTCCATTCAAATAATGGACTCAACTCCCTCCCCCTCTTCTCACACTACACTGCTGGCTATTCCCTCTGAGAAATTTTGGGGGGAAAACCAGGTATAGTAATAAATAATACCTCAAACTAAATTTAGGATAATA